TATACTCAAATGTTTTCTACTGTTGCACTGAATAACCCCTAGAAGTTTGATCCCATAGTTCTGAAACACCCTGTATATATATATATATATATATATACACATATATACATATTATCTCGCAATTAGGTACAGAGACACATAAACTAAATAATTAAGTAGTAACTTATGATAATCGGCAATGTAAGACTCGCGTTCACGCAGAGCATCGTTACCGAGAGATTGCGCTAATAATCTTATTTTATTGTTATTGCGGATATCGCGATCGGCGCATCTCGAACAACTATGCCGCTCGCGGTATTCATTAGGAGAAACAGAATCAATTTTTTTTACATTTAATCCCGTGTCGAGGAGCGATAATTGGGCAGCAGATCTTTTGCTGTGTTGCAGATCGTGCTGAATTCAATGCACAGGTATCAACCAAGAATACACTTAGTTCGTTGTAGACACGCAGACGATCCTCTAAACATCACTGATCTTCAGAAAGAAGAGCACAAGACGTTCATTTTTCCGGAGTCTGTTTTCACAGCCGTCACGGCATATCAAAATCAATTGGTGAGTGCAGAGAGATTTTACGTACAATATAACTTAAATAAAATTACAAAAAGATTAAAATTAAATTTTTTATTTTGTCTACAAAGTAAGACTCTGTTTTATCTAATATTATAATTTGTGACGTTTTAAACAAAAAAGTACATATTAAATTAATTTGCAGATAACAAAATTGAAGATCGATAGTAATCCGTTCGCCAAAGGTTTCAGAGATTCGTCGAGACTCACAGACTTCGATCGGTAAGTATGAGAATTTTCTTTTTACAAAAAACATATATTTGTAGATTTTCTTAGATTCGATGTGGAGTTGAAAGGAGATTTGAGTTACGCCGCCGATCTGACTTCGAGACCTGTAATTACACCGCGTCGGGGTATCGGTAGCCAATCGAATAAATATCTCAAAACTTGATTAAAATATGCTTCAGCTAGTATGTACGGCTAATCTGTCTGCTCGTTTCTCTCTCTTTCTCTTCATACGCAGTGTTTGAAACCATCCGATCCGGGCAAACGCTTTTCTGCATAGTGGTGTAACAAGCAATCATAGCGTCCATTTATAACACACGGACGTTGATCGAGCGGTCGCTAAATTAAAACCTATATTTTCGAATGAAATATCTATAACTCTCGTGTCGGCGCGGCGTCGACGTTTCTACTGGAAGGGGTTAATTAAAACGCGATTAGAGTGTCAGCGCATACGTCATCCATCGTCGACGATTTCCTTGATTTCTTTTCGCACGAATTTTATTCGAGATCCGAACAGGTTAATTACTCTTGAAAACGGTTCAAATCACTAAAATCAGCGAAATCCAACACAGAAAAATCTGGTTGACGAAATAATTATTGCGAACCTTCACTTAATTACTAGTTTAGCTTATTTTAGCAATATTGTATGTGTGTTCCATGTTTCAGTTATTATTCCGATATTTTTGTTTGACTTTCATTTCTGCCTCGCGATCGCCTCGCCGTTTGATATACGCAATCGATCGACGATCGCGGACGATTATTACATCTCATTAGAATGTCGTCACCTTAATCGCTCGCTGCGCCGACTAAATTATCATTAAGATCTGTTTCTCTTCCCCTTTTTCCCTCTTTCTCTTGTTCAAGACGGAAATTTCAACAACGTTGAACGCCGAGTGCGAGTTCGATGCCGAAATGGGTGCGTACATGCAACCGATTTCGAGTTATCCGCGATCATCTATCTGCATGAATGACGACGCACCTGCCCGGTTATGCATTCTCTTTCTCTGGGCGTTTACGGTTGAGGCGGATGCGCGAGTGACAGAAAAATATATTTATGTAATGTATATATGTATGTTATATCCTTTTTGTTCAACGCGCGCCGCCGTCATCGCTGCGATGATCGCCGTTCATGCCGATGTCACGTTGTTAACCGATGGCTACGATTAATCGATTATCGATGCTTGTCGCCCGTCATCGAGTTTGCATTAAGAAAAAGTACAGTTTAATTTTGCTCATCTCATTGTCATTTATTATCAATAAATTTTAGAAGAAGGTCAGCATTTATTGATAAATATGATTATTAAAATTAATGAAATATAAATTGCAATAGACTTACACGTATAATAAAATATAAATTATACAAAACATAACTATTTTGAATTTTAGAGTGTTTGCATTTGCAATATAAAAGAATTATTGATTCAAAATAAAAAAAATGTTTAATGACAGAATTATTTAAAAATAATATATATGTAATATATACGATTTATGTGTGCGTACGGATATAGAAAAATGTGGAATTATAAAAAAAAAGAATATTATTAATTAACATGAGTAATCGATTAATTTTACATAATAACTCGAAACAAGCACACGAGTAAAAAGTACGGACACACCTCCTCTCACACTGTTATAAACTACGCCGTATCGAGATCAAAAGTTTTATATTCGACTTCCAAGTCTTGGTGCAGCTTTACGTTTAAAAATTGATTAGCTCGTTTTGAAAGAGAGAGAAAGAAAGAGAGAGAAAGAAAGAGAGAGGAGAGAAAGAGAAAAAGAGAAAGAAAAAGAGAGAAAGAGAGAAAGCGAGAACGCGCGGGGGTCTTGGAGATTCGGTACCATATTTTACGAAAAACCGTCTGGTGCTCTTGCAACGCCCACCGATCCTCGGAAATATATTAAGGAACGCGGGCGCGCGCGTTTAAGCGAAGCAGGACTTTCGTCACGCCTCTTCCAATTTGCACGTGATCGCAGCTGTGGGCCGTGTGTGGATGCCACTTTCACGAAAACTTCCAAGCGAGCATTCTACACCGTGCGAAGATCGATTTGCGATTAATTAGCTCATATTATATCAAAACGTCGTTGATCATAAATCGCGCAATTAAAGCCCGCGTCTCTTTCTCGAGACGCGATATATCGTTTGTTCGAATAAAAATCCGCGACTCGAGTCTCGTGTCAAACAGCCGGAGCGTCGTGGTATCGCTAATGATGTTTTCGATCGACACCGAAAACTCCAACAGCTTATTTAAGTGTCGCGATTACCGCCTTATTACGATGGGATAAACAATTTAATTGCGTTTCGCCTCTCACAGAGCAGGTGTCTCACGACAGGTATGCCGACGATCGGCCGAACTTGAAGCCGATACGAAAAGAACAAATAAAATATTAGTCGAAGTAATCAAACAAAAGAGGAAAAAAAAAGAAGAACTTAAAGTGAGAAACGCTGTTTATTAACATCGTAAAATCCGAATTAATTCCCGAGTAACATATATATATACACGGCATATTTCAGATAACGGATAATTTCAATAGAATAATTCCGGATGGAAAATTTGTTCGTTTACGAAATCTTATTTCTCAGTTGTTAATTCTCGAGTCCGAAATACGGACGTTAAATTCTGAATCCTTAATTTAGGGTCATGAATTCTGACCGTTACAGCGCGCTTTCTCTCTCTTTCTCTCTTTCTCTCTCCTCGACTTCAAACTCTTATCTCAGCACTTATCTTATCGCAAACAGCGCATATTTATACAAATGCACAGTCGGTTAAATGCAAGGTTAAACACTGGTTATATATACGTTCACGTTAACACAACGATAATCCTGCCTTCCTCCCGAAAAAAAAAATTACGCAACGAAGTCGAGATTGCATAATGAAAAAAGACGAAACCGAAGTAAGTAATAAGAGAAAAGAAGTTTACATCGAGAAACTCTCAGAGGAAGCTCGCATTAGGAACGGAAGACGACTTTATTGGGTGCCCGTTATCGATTCGCCAACACGCCGTGGTACGCGAGTCGATTTGCATAAAACCTTGAATCGATCCCGAGAGATCGGCGAGGTTAACAATTTAGTGGGCGTGTGCTCGCGCCGATGCAGCTACCGGTGTGTCGTTCTTACTTATTAAATGAGGCCGAACGGACCGATAATCGTTCGACCGGTAATCGTCACGAGGAGAAGTCATGTCGCAAAGAGAAGAAATGTACGCGGATAAGATATGATGATAAATGTAACGCAGCTTTTAATTACGTGCCGATTTCAGTCGCGTTGCTCCGCGCTGCGAGCTCTCGAGACGAGATATTAAAAGCGACGCGTTTATTGTCAGATACGCGCGTCGAATTATCATCTCGCGTAAATCCTCTTCCTCTTCTTCCTCTTCCACCTCCTCCTCTTTGGCGAGGCCAGTTGTTAAAAAATTAAGTCGCGCGAGAACGCGTCCGGCAAAAACACGCAAACTTCTCGTTTATGATTATTAATAGTAGAAGCGCGCCATCTTTTCGCTCGCGCGAACTCCATGTGTGTTTGCCTCGCATACGATCGCGCATGGCACAGAAGAAACTTTCCGTGTGATGGATCGAGCCGTTCGTTGCGATACTTTCATGTATGTACGAATGTGCTATCGCCCGAGACATTCATCACAGCGGATTTATGCCGCTTCTGTATTAAAAGGAGGTGTAGGGGAGGCCGTGGAAAAAACGCTGGATCCAAGGATCACGAGATGCAGCACACCGAAGGCTGTAGCGAATTTATGTTCACCTTGAATGCTAAAATCCCCGCTGTGTTTCTACTATTTTTTTCACAAATTTCGATGTATAGATTTTAATATTTCTCTCTCTCACACTTTACGTTTCTTAAACTTTATATTCTACTAAAATCTAGAGTTTTTTCTATTTTTGTTTTGTTTTTCGTATCCTTAAAATGTTTTGAATACTTGAGATTTTTGCGTACGTTCTCGTGCGACACTGAAATTTTCTACGGAACATTAACGATTATTAATGAGTCTAATAACAGCCATATACTCATTTTACGCGACAGGTCTTTGAAATAAACCGTGCGCGCGTCATATATATTGTACATTCGCATGCAATTCAGTATTGTTTTCACTTGGCGATTTCACGGCAAGTCAAATAAGTGAGAGTGTGTGTATCTTAATGACTTCTCGATGGCGAGTCGCGAGAACATGATCTCGCCCTGAAATCACTGCCAACACTCCGATCCTCCCCAAATCAGCACCTGTCTAACAGACTGCCCGCCTAAATTCCGCAACGTCATTCTAAGACTCGTCCAATTGCTTTCTCGCTCGCTTATCTCTCCAAAGTGGTTTCACCTCGTTCGCATTCCGCTGTGAATTTCTCGTGACGAGAACACCAATGTCAGGCCGTCGAGTTGTCGCTCTATCGATGCCTTCATATCGAAAAAACGCTCTTTTCCTTTTCTTCTCCTTTATCTCCTCATTTTCCGAAATTGTTACATGTAGAGAAATATATATGTAAAACTTTGCCTGATGAGATAAACTACCGTGGGACGTCGATAAAATCTTTTTAGGGTCACTAACTAACACTTTGGCGATAACACCGTCATTAGAAGTGCCCGCTTGGGGATTCCAACTTGTCTCGGCGACGCCTATAGCGGATGCTAATACACGCGTATCTGATCAGAAATTATCGATAGGCGAAAATCATTCCGAGTGCTCGAGTTATCGCGGAACTAATTTGAAACACGACGGTTGACACGACGAGTTCTTTATTAGTCATAAAAATGTACAGCAAGTTAGAGAGAGGAATATATATAAAGAATTATATACATATTCATATACGCATTGTATAAAGACAAACGACAATAACAAGATAACAATTTCTTTAGTTTTCGAAGAAACTACTATATTCAATTCTTTTTAAATCTAAACGCCAGTGGATTTAAAAAAACTGTTTCTACATTCGCGCGCTCATCAGCCGACAACACCGGTCGCGTTCTGTCTCGCTCCAGATAAGCACGTATGGG